TCTTTCAATTCATTCTTAGCTGGACTAAGTTTTCTTTGACTAATATTGAATTTATTGAAATGTGAGATTACTAGAGCAAATTTTAAGTAATATTTAATGAATTTGAATGTTCATTATAATCATCACAAAAAGTCAGCGAATTTTTTATAAAATATATTATAATACAAAAAGTCACAGAGATCCAAAGAAATTAAAAAGAATTTACATTTTAAAATAACGTTACAAATAATATTATTTAATGTCGCAAAGCGATGATTAAAACTAGAAATTATAATAACAGAGCAACTTAATTTATGATAACACTCTTCCACCTGACACAACTACACATTGATATACATTGTACATCAAATCTATATATTCAAATTTTATACATAATCTAAAGAAATCCTGTATTTTACACTGTACATACACTAAATAGTAGCACTGGTTGATAATGTTGTCTATAGTTAATATATCATGCAATACCATTACGTTGGAAAAAAAATATATTAAAATGTTATATATTGAGATCTCTGATGCATCTTCGCCAATGTGTGTGTGTGCGCGCGCGCGTGTGTGTGTGTGTGTGTATATATAGACACATATACGTAAGTTGGAAAAGCTGTAACTATAGTAAATGTAAATATAAATTAAATAAAAAAGCTAAAAAGATCCAAATAAAAGTTAAGATAGAAGTTTATATGTGACTAATAGATTGTGTCATTATTCATCACATAAACATAGTAAAAAATTAATTTATATATTATTTGAAATAAGTTATTATATGATTTTTTTACTTTACATAATACAAAAAATGACTTCTGCAAAAATATATTTTCCACGATTTCACAAGCGTTATTTATGAAGATAGTTCTTACAAATATATATTATAATAATATATACATACGAAATAGGAAATGTATGCATAGAGAGAAAGTTCTGTCTGCTTGTTATCTCAAACTTTCATATAATATATCTACTTTAGAGTTAACTATTCTTATGGGTGGCCTTACGTATTTGTCGCAGTAACATTTGAGCTCATTCACAAAGTTGAAAGATCCTAAGCGATTGTTGCAGTACGGACAATATAATTTTCCCTTGGTCCAAGATTCCTTAAAAAAATAATTATCTTTTGATTCATATATACATATATTTGTAAAATCTTGATAAAGAAGGTATACTTGGTTAATAGCATTCATAATCCAATTTGGTGCATTCTCGGGAGTCATATACGAGCAGCAATCGGATTCATCCACTTGGCATCCTACATCCATTGTTTGTTGTTTTGGTTTTACCTCATGATGCGCATTAAACAAAATAGAATCACCCTTGAAAAGCGATTTACAGCAATGCTTGCATCTTACTTCCATTATACGAAGACAGCGATATGAAGAATATCTGAAGAATTATTATTATTATCGATTTTATTGAAAGTGATTGATGAGAATGTCATAAAATGTCATAAAAATAAAAAATAAAACAATAAAAGCTGTAAAAAACTGACAGTTACTTACCAAAGTTCATAGAGTGTTAATAGCTCCGTTATATATAATTATGGTTCTTTTATAATAACAATTATTTTTATAATATATATTATGATCAGAACGTATGTTCCTCGAAATTATGCTTCATATACAATTAAAGTAATGAAGAAATAAATACAAAATCGCAGAAAATATCTAAATCAAAGCCTATAAACTTGTGTTTAAGTTGCAATAGGAACATAACCTAAGCTAACCTATATATCCAATATAGGCACATAGCTATTAGTATCTAATATTGGACACATTATGGACTATGGACTGTTTGCAAGAAAAATTATATCTGTCATTTATCATTTAGAAGAAAAATTTTTTTTATACATTTTACATAGAAAAATAAAAAATATAATAGTTATACATAAAAAAGCAATATTAATTTTTTATCTTAATAAGATATATATAGGAAATAATTTGAGACAATTTTAGTAAACAAACTTGATATCATATATTGCCTGTTTTACTATCACTGACATCAACATAAAAAGAAATCCACTATATATTTCTATTAATTTAAAGTTTGTGGAATGTAAGCGGCGAAAATACACTCCCCTCATATTTTCATTTTTACGAATATAGATTAACTTTCATTCAATTCAACTTACTTTAGATTTTTTCTAGTTTTAGCCTGGTAAACTTTTCAGAAATACTGAGAAAGTCTGCATTTCTTCTTAGAATTTATCATATAAAATATAAATTCTAAGAAAATTTTGAAATATTCTTATGATTTCATTCTATAATTTCTAAGAATATACTTTAAATTTTTCAGATTCTAAAGGATTTTATCAAAAGTTATAAAATGAAAAATCTTAGAATATTTCAGAATTTATATATATGAAAAATTCTAAAAAAAGATAGACTTTTTCAGCACTTTAAAAAGAGTGTTTCAATTTATATATTCTGAGAAATTTTTTAAAAAAATATAAAATCCAGAAATTTTTCTATAAAAATTCTAAAAAATCATATGAAATATTCTGAGAATTTTTACTAGAATAAGGATTACAAAAAAAATAAAATGTGAGTGAAAGCAAGATTAAAGTTAATCTACATTGATAGAAATAATTATTACAATATATCTTAAACTTAAAGATACAATATATTTTAATCATTAGAACGACATATATACGATATCACAGATATCGTTTGCACATATTTAGATAATGGGTACATTCAATCTTCACCCGCTGGTATTGCATCTTCTAATCTTTTAACAAATTTTACACGCAGTTCGGTCAAATTGTCGTTCTTAAGCTGATCCTGAACAAACCAGCAGGCGATTTCCATTTGCACCATTTCACAGGCTCCTCTGAGCACGCCGGGCAATATATTACAGTACTTGAGATTCGAATAATTATCCGGTAATTCCACGAATTCCGTTAGCGGATTTGTTTCGAAGCACAGAGAGAATTCGTCACCGGCCGGACTCCAATTTGTAATCGACGGCGTTATGCCTAGGAATATCTTGAAGCCACTCTGAATCTTCTCTGCCGTGTCCTTGAAATCATAGCATCGGCCAGAGCCGGTCCTTGCAAGAAAATCTTCTATCAGCCGTATCCCAATGTTATATCCCATTCTTTCCAGCTGCTTGTTAACATCCTCCACATTTTCATAGTCCTGGAGTAACTGAGCCACAATTGAACCGTAAGTTAGGGTAAACAGTTCAGAGTTCTGTAACAAAAAAGATGAAAGAAAAAAGTAATTCAATTTAATCCCTTATATACTGTAGTAAATTATAAAAGATTTTTAAAAAAAGATATCGTTATAAATTCGAGTAATTTTGATAAAAAATTACAAATCTTCTATAATTTTGACTGTTTGATAATTCTAATGTTAAAGATATATCCTATAGCCTCTAAAAGATATATGAAAAAGAATACATGACACACCATAACCTCGAGACTCTATTTAATACTAATCTCGTATTCGAAATGAATAAAAATTGTTTTTTTAAGCAGATTATTAATGGCAAACCGATATTACACAAAATATTTCATACAAAATAGCGCGACACTTGCCACTTTCTTTGCATCGAGTTTCGTTCCTGTTCGAGACATGTTGACAATTGACGATCTTCTTTTTCTTGCTTAATAGCTGTCAGAACTATTAGAAGTGTCGGAACAGCCACCCGTTAAGAATCGGAGACAAGGAGCCAGTTTCACCAACGCCAGTTAATTTAATCGGCCGTTAACTGACCAATCACATTTGCTGTTTAGAAGAATTGACCAATTATGGTTGACAGTTAATCACGATTAAGCTTAATCAGCGTTGGTAAAACTGACCCAAGGGGTCTGTTCGAGTTGCTTGAAATCCCCAAAAATGTTTGTTCTCAAAGTGAGATAAATAGATATTCAGGCGTTGAAGAGAGAGGAAGCGAAGATGCTGAGTGCAAAAAGTGTAAGCAACGCGACAGACCTAAGGTCTGGCCGCCAGACCTTGTCCATACAATAGGAGCTAAAATTCCTTTGTCTTCATTGATCAAATTTCAATCTTCAATCACTAATCTCAATTTTCAATGGGCAGTCTGATTCCAGCCATAGACAGTGCTCAAGATTCGAGATGGTCTTAAGCTAGTGCATGAACCAATCAGAGAGCCGTATTAGCATCTTGAGACCTTGCTTGAGATTAAGAACGGTCTATGGATTCCAGCCTAATGCGGGGTCTATAATAGAAGTCGTAGCGGTCGTAGGGTCTTAAGTCGTAGAAAATTGACCAATCACAGTTAATTATTCTTCTCATATTCGACTGTGATTGGTCAATTTTCTACGACTTAAGACCCTACGACTGCTACGACTTCTATTGTAGACCCCGCATCAATCTTCAATGCGTAATCTGATTTTAGCCTAAGTGTCAATTGTAATTGGTCAATTCTGCTGAACAGTAAATGTGATTGGTCAATTCCAATGTAACGAGCTTGAGTTTCGGAATCAGAACAGTCAAAAATGACGTGGAGAAGATCTTGACTTCGTAACCACACGCATGGTGAAAATATATATATATATATTTTCACCATGATCATACGTTTAACCAGGGACGCCAGGGTCCTCGATTAAATTCTTGTGAAAGAGGCTATGATTTAAATTAAAATAATTGCTGCGGAGGCGATTTAAGGTAGTAATCACAATCCGCGATAAATGCATGTGATAGAACCAAGCAGAGCCTCTTTGGCTGGTAAATGTGATTAAAAACTTATTTAACATTTTTTTATTTTAGTATTTTTTATAATTGAGTTTTTAAAAACAAATTTTATATTTATTAAAATTTTTTTTATTAATTTTAAAAATAATTAACGTACGCTTAACTTTAATTGTCGAAAATAGGAATAAAATAATATACATTTTGCTCCTTTTTGTTATTTATTTCTGAGAAAATATATCTAATATTTAATAGTACCCTCAAGTAATTAAGTGGATAAAAACTGCAGTACAACAGGAAAAAATATAACATATTTTTTCTTTAAATATTTCATTGTTTTGAAAAAGTTTGCACGTAAAATTCTACATCGTAGAATTAAGGGAGGCGAGACAAAAGTATAATATAAGTTTTGTGCTATTTATTATGATCTTTGATGTGATTGCTTCAATGAGATTTGCTACAAGTGCCCCTGACTTTACTTTCTATGGGATTGTCCTCAAATATATCTCTAATAATATCGCGTTTCGGCTTTGAGTGCGCTGGTAAGCCACGATGTAGATTCTCCATTATCTGCATTCTATTCACATTATGATTCTTATATCCTTGGCTCAGGAATTCAATATTTTCGTTGTCATCGATAGCTTTCATTGTGGCTAACAACTTCTCTTTGTTGTAATTAATTGTTTTTTTCTTTTCATTTGTTTGTTTTACCTGTGTTATCTCACTCCTTGCGCCATTACTCTGCTCAGTCTGAGATACATGAACATTGTTGGACAATACATCAACATCTAATGTAGTGTTCAGTTTATTTTGCGTTTCTATGTTGACACCAGTTTTATCTGATGTTTCTTCATCACTACGGCGCATTACACTGGATGTTTCGTCTCTCTCTTTGAGCTTAAAATATTCCTTTTCCAAATTATGCACAGGCCGAATGCTCCCATCCAAATTTATCGTAGATTCCTTTCCATAAGCTTCCTGTGAGTCCTTCTCAATCTTCTTCCTTTCCGATATCGGCAAATTTTTCATTTCTTCATATACTGCATTGTCTGTCTCATGATAAATCTTATCACGTGACATGTCAACATATATTGGCTTTTCTTCTAAGTATCTTATTTCTTCTTTTTTTATACAATCTTTTTTCATGTCTGTAGAAGAGTCGTCCATTCCGTTACTTTCCAAAAGTTGTCCTTTATCCAGCCATGTTCTGTTTGAGTTTGAAGATTGTTGAGGAATCTCTGCATTTTCTAAATTTACATCATCCAAAATATTATCAGATATTCTCGGTAACTGTGTAACCTTTAATCTCCCAACCGACTGTTCTGTGATGTCCAAAGTATTGTGTTCTAAATGAGTGACAGCATTAAAAGATTTACTGAACTGCTCTTTAGCGAACTTAGATAAACTAGTTTGAAAGTCATTGCTTTTGTATTCAATGGGAGAATCTCCACTTATATTTATCTTTCCTTCGGAATCAACATCAGAACCGCTATCATAAAGATCATTTTTTTTATGATGTAATAATTTTGTTTTACTCTTGTGCTTTTGAAACGTTAAATCTTCCATTAGACGTGTGCTTAACTCTTCTTCTTCCTCCTCATCGCTGTTTACCTTCTTCATTATATCGTCTAAAGTATCAGAGGTATCGTCTGTACTGTTAATTAGTCTATAACAGACACAACAAGAGTAAAGAATCAGGAGATTGTTATATTAATTAGACACAGAAAATAAATATACTATGTAAAAAGATTTAATTATATAACGTTGCTTTACATGATTTCTCATGAAAAATATAGTCTTGTTATATGCATACCTTGCGTACAACTCTCTAGATTTTTGTGGGGTATCATAAGACTGAATGTAATATTCACAAGCGTTCCCACTTTCTCCGTCATCAGATGAATAATCGAATTCAGCCCTTAGTTCTTTTTGCAGTTTTTGTGTATTTTGATTTTTTATTCTACTAAATAATTTTCTTAATTTGCCACTTTCACCTTGATCGTTATTTAATTCGTCTCTCTCCAATATTGATTTATAATCTATCGATGTGATTTTTTCACCATGCGCATTCATTTCAGAATCTTTTGACCTAAATCTTAAGTCATCCATGGAATGAGCATTTTTACGCATGTGTGACGATCTTTGTAAACGAAACTTTCGTATTTGTTGCAAACTTGCCATTGTTTCTGACTTTAACTGATCTACCGATTGATTGTGATTAACATTATTTGGCTGAGTTACTTTTTCATCAGCATTGGGTTCCAATATGTCAAGTGACGGCTGCAATTACATTAAATTTATAGAATCTTTTTTAATCCTTAATTATGCTTATATATATATAATCGTATACAAATAACAAGCTCACCAAATTATCCTTTGGCCCATTTTCATTCCTTTTACTTCTATTAGACGATTTAATTGGATTAGAGATGCTAAAATACAGAGCATGTATATAAATAATTTACACTTTATACATTATGAGAAAAGATGTATACATATAATTTTTATACCTGAGATTTGTGAGAGAATGGCTACCTAGATTTTTTTCTTTATTATAAATTGGCAATTGACCATTACAATATAATCTCTTTTCTCTATTGTCTAATAAAAATTCTAAACTTTTCAATTTCTCTATTGTCTCTTGTAAGTTCTTTTGTGTTTCTTTATGTTTAGAAATCTCGATATGTAATTGATGCTTCAAGCTCTTAGTTCCAAGGGCAAGTTTTCTGTGTAATAGCTGCAAAAAGATATTTCAGCTAAAGCCGCAGTTTTGCAACATAATCAGTCTATTTTATTTCTGCTATTCATGTGAATCTAACTTTTGAAAATAAATGTTGAAAGTTACCTGAATAGTTTCTTGTTGCTGTTGCATTTTATAATTCATGTCGGTTAACTGTAATTGTAATTTTTCTCTCTCTTCGAGATTTCGATCTTTACTAAGTTGCAATAGATGCTTATTTTGTGACTATAAAGAAAAATGTTCGGAAATTCGTATGAATGCACATTAAAAATAAAAATATAACATTACAGGAACGCATTAATTGAAAACCTCACATTCGCAAAATAAAGTTCATTTTCTCTTTCTTTCAGCAGGTTACATGTATCTTTGTGTAATTCCTTTAATTTTTTATATTTTGTTTGAAGTACTCGCAATTCTTCGTGATGCGAATTTATAAGCCTTGGTAACTCAGCATTTGCTCCTTCATAACGCCTTAATGCAGAATCTTGTCTTTTTTGTAACGCTTTTAATAATCTGTTTTCGTTTGCTAGTTCCTTAAAAAATATAAGGAAATTAGTTTTATGTTAAAAAAATGTCTTCAGTATTAAATATATACGTCAGCATATCTTCTATACTCACGTTGAGATGATAATGTGCATCGGCTAATTGATTTTGTAACTGTTTAAAACGAAGCATTTTCGCTGACATTACCCTTTGCCCAAAAATACTTTTGTTACCAGATTTTGGTTCATCTGACAGCGATTGCTGTTTCATAGTGCCTCTATATGGCGCACCTATTTAAATATATTCAATATATATTATAAATTTTTTTATTAATATTATATATAATAAGATCATAAACAATCAGATATTTTAATAATCTTTATACAAACCGAGCAAGGGATTTAAGCATTTTTTACTCAATGGAAATAATGTATTTCTAAAAGGAGACAACTTTTTGGATTCCAGTGTTGCAGAATCTTTTGAACAAGGTTTTTCTTTTCTATAATTTATATATATATATATTTAATGTATATCATATTTAACAGATATTAAGTTTTTAGTTAAAAACGTTAAAATGCATGTACTAAACCTTATAATATATCTTATGTCTTCGTCTAATATATTACGTCATAATTTATATTGATACTCTCAAAGTCTAATTTACCTAGTGATTGTTCTGTGCACATTAAGTTGTACTACTGGTAAAATAGAGGCTTCAGTTTGCATTTTATATTTATACGCAGCGTATTACAACGCGTTGTAATTGCGTACAATCCATCTTTATAGTCAAATCGTCGAAGAGTTGTCAAACACTCATTGCAGGCTAGTCGGCGACCATAATTGTTTCAAATGGTTGTCAAGGCAACATCTGTGAAAGTATTAGTAATCAATGCTTTTTCAAAATGCTTTTCTAAAATGAAATAAATTTATGGCTCCTGAGTACTCAATTCAGCCATATCGAATCGTGACGTCATAAGCGAGAAACGATCCCATACATTGATTTTTTTGCATGCCATTTATAAATAAAGAGGATTTAGATGAAACAAAATATTAAGATCGTTTTAAGCTTTGTAAAAATGTATCCTATCTTCCCTGACAGTCAGTAAATATATAGTAAAAGGCACATAAAGCGAAAATAGGCTACATATGCGCATTGAGTAAAAACTAGTAGACGCAATTTACATGTTTTTTACTATTTATTGACTGTCAGGGGAGATAAGGATAATCTCGGCCCATTTTTACAAGTGTTTTAAAACGCTCTCAATATTTTGTTTCATCCAAATTCTCTTTATTTATAAATGACATGTAAAAAAAATCAAAGTCATTTCTCACTTATGACGTCACGATTCAATATGGCTGAGATGATTGCTCAGGAGCGAAGCCTTATGAGCGGAACTTATTATTAGTCTTTTATTTATCATTTATTGATCAAATAAATCCATAATAAACCGAAAATTTAATTTTTTAATTTAATTGAAAATTGTGCATATATTGAATATTTTAATGACTTCTTTATTCTACTTGACATAAATGATTTTACATTTAATATTGCACATTACACATAAGAATGTATTATTTCATATTACTACTTTCAAATCAAAGTGTAATTATATATATATATATATAAAATTATGTAATAGGTAGGGAGGGAGAGAGGAAGAAAGGGAGAGAGGAAAGGAGGGAGAATGAGAGAGAGAGAGAGAGAGAGAGAGAGAGAGAGAGAGAGAGAGAGAGAGAGAGAGAGAGAGAATAGCTTTATTTACAATTAAATTATATTTCGAATATAAATTACATATTTTTCATAAGTTTTGAGATTATAAATGAAAACATTTGGCACTTAATGTATAAATTACTCCAGAATGTGTATTGTTGTATTGTTAATTGACTGAAATACTTATTCAAATATATGCACGTAATAGAAGGCTTGTAATAAGATTATGAGTGTAACATTTGTTTGTTTAATATTAATACGTACAATGACTTTGTAACAAATATATATATTGTCACTTATCTTTAATACTTACATTTGTATGTACAGCATATAAATGTAATATTTTACTATTTGTAAAATTATTTTTGTATATCTCACATAATTTATTAAGGCCTAACTATAAGATAACATTTGAGGTAATTACTTGAAAAAGCTAAAACTTTCATTCAGTATTGTATATGTTTACCTAGTTACACTATCTTTAATTAAACTGTTCAGCTTGATTTTTCTCTTTCTGTTCTTGTAATTTCTTCATGCCTAAATATTGAGTTTCCCATAATTTACTGTACAAAGAATTTGGTATAGATAACAATGACTCATGTGTTCCTCTTTCAACTAAATTACCCTGATCTAACACAAGTATATCATCAGCATCCATAACTGTCAATAAACGATGTGCGATCACAATTGACGTCCGTTTTTCGGTTGCATTACGCAGGGCATCAAGTATGTTCTGTAAAGAAATTATTTATATTAAAGAAATTAAAGGAATGTAAGAAATATTTAAATAATATGACTATGTATAGGGTGATTTATATAAAGCAATCGATTTAATTATTAGCGAAATTTGAAAATATATGAAAAAGTAATAATTTGAACACCAGTGTGTTGAACATCAAATTCATTGAACACCAAATGAAGTTGACCTTAAAATGTCCCCAATGCCTCCACCCATAAAATAATTGTTTCTATTATATGATATCTCTTTTTGTACTGAACACATTGGTATAAACTACTACTTTTTCATATATTTCTTCAAATTTCGCTAATAATTAAATTGGTGACTTTATACGAATCACTCTGTAAATATAACATTCTTGAAACTTGCATGTTCTGTAATGGAATCCAAAGAAGAAGTAGCTTCATCGAAGATCAATATAGGACTATCTTTTAAAATTGCTCTGGCAATTGCAACTCTTTGTTTTTCTCCGCCACTTAATTTCAAACCACGTTCTCCTACGGGTGTGTCGTATCCTTGCGGCCATTTTAGTATCGAGTCATGTAGATTCGCCATTTTCGCAGCTTCGAAAACTTCATCACGCGATTTTCTCAAATTACCATAGTGTAAATTATAAAATATACTTTCATGAAAGAGTACCGTATCCTACAATTTTGTTTTTGATATATTATAAATGATATATTATAAAAAGTGCTGCAGTATATGTACATAAAATAATTAGTTTTAGAAGAAAAGGATAAAACATTGATTTCACCTGTGGCACAATTGAAATGCATTGTCTGAGGTCGTCTAAATCAACATCTTGAATATTATGATCATTGATGTAAATATTACCATTATCTGGTTCAAAAAATCTATACAGCAGTCTCACAATTGTAGTTTTTCTGGAAAGATAAAAGGCTGCATGAAGCAATCATGAACCAATTATTGATACTGATGAATTATTGATTGATTGTTGATGAATTTATGATGAGTAATCTATGTGTTAAAGAATTTATATAGCTATACCTAATACCTTACCCACAACCAGATCCTCCAACAATAGCAACCTTCTTGCCACTCGGTATAGTGAATGATACATTTTTAAAAATAGGTTTTCCTTGAACATATTGGAAATTTACGTTTCTAAATTGTATTTCTGATGAATCTGATGTCACGTAAAATCTCAGTGCGTTTTCTTTCGACTGTTAATAAAGATCCAAACAGCAATTTAATTATATGCAAGTAGAGATAGATAGCTATGTAGATATCAATATAATCTTACTTTAATTGCAGTATCGGTTGTCATAAGAGTAAACATGGTTTGCATGTCAATAAAAGCTTGTCTTACTTCTCGATAAACAGAGCCTAAGAAGCCTAAAGGAACTGAGAGTTGGAACAACAAGGCGTTCACCATCACTAAGTCACCGACAGTCATAGTGCCTATAACAATATAAGAGAAATAAAGATACAGGCATTAATTCTTTTAAAAGTATTCTATAATTTGATAATAAACTAGCAACTACAGATGTAATTACCATTTACGATATTTTGCGCCGCCAATACCATGATGAGGCTTAGCGCACCGCTGAAAATAGCATTCTGCCCAAAGTTCAACATTGCTAAGCTCGTGCTAGTCTTGAGGGATGACGTTTCGTATTTCTTCAAAGATTGATCGTATCTTTCCACTTCGAACTTCTCGTTGTTAAAATACTGAAGCAAGCAAGACATATATATTTTTAAAAATCTACTTAAAAAGAATTACATTTTACTACTGTAAGAAATTTAGAGGAAATAGGCACAACAGAGAAGCTATCAGTGTCAGGGCTGTGTGACTCAGTGGCAGGACGAAAGTCTACCATTTCAGAGGAGACCAGGCCTCGGTTCGAATCTCGGAGTCCTGATATTTTTCTCGTGTTGTCGCTTATTTCTTACTGACCTTTACGGTTTCGTAATTAATAAGCGAATCTATCGCTTTATTGCCTGCTTCGTTTTCCGCTTGATTCATACGTATTCTGAATTTGGTACGCCACTGTGTAACAGTTAACGTGAACATAGTATAAACGCCCACGCAACCCAACGCTACGGCCGAGTATTCTGGTCCACATTTTATTCCCAATATCGCACTAACTAACGCTAGTTCGAATGCTGTAGGTACAATGTTAAATACCATGGCGTTTAAAACGAAATTAATACCACGGCTGCCACGATCAATTGTCTGAAAAAGATATAAAGAACATTTTTCAAGATGTAGCATATAGTTTTTTTAATGTTCTTGACATGAAAATGATGAAAGAAGAAGTTGCTAAATTTCATATATTACCTTCGATAAAGCACCGGTCTGCCTACTTAAGTGAAAAGCCATATCGAGATTGTGCAAATGAACAAAAACGTTTTTTGCTATTTTACGAATAGAGTGCTGTGCGACTTTCGCAAAAACTGCGTTCCTAAGTTCGCTAAAACCGGCCGCTCCAGCTCGTGCTATTCCATCTACAAAGATTATTCTGGATTTATTTAAAATCCTATATATATATTATAAGAATTCTCTTACTAAAATATTAAGATATTCCAAAATAAGGTATGTTTACATCCTACAAGTAGTGACGTTGCCACAGTCGCAACTGTTGCAGGTGCACTTGTTAAATTCATCGCAGCACTGCCAGACATTACTGCGGTGTGGGCATTTAAAATATCTATCGCATACTTGAAAATAAATGGTACAAGAACATTTAAGACTTTAGCTCCTATAAGTAAACCCACTGCTATTTTTACTCTTTTCCGTATTTCTGGATCGTCCTATAAAAATAGAATATATAATGTTGTACATATTGCTTTAAATTAATACAATATTACTTACTTCTGGCCAAATGTATCTAAGCATGGCCTTTAACATGTCTATACTAGTGACCGACAATTTATCATGTAAGTCAATAGCATCTCTGCTCAAGCTAGAGACACCAGGATGGAAACAATTTCTTTTTTGCTGGCCAGGCTTTGCTCCGGTTAATCCAGTAACAACCGATTCTAATTTTATTGGCGGTACCACAGATTTAGATTGCGGCACACTCTTCTTCTTTTGAGCACGGTCGATTACATTGCCGCTGCAACACTATAATAAAATAAAAAAATATTTAATTTTTACATAAATCTAACGTATGCCAATCATGATAATTATATATTTATAAACATGTAACAAATATATTCACATATATTTCGTGACTACTTAAGATTTCCAAAGAATAATCGATATAAAACCAAATCAAAACTGACTATGTTATCTTTGTTTTAGATAACAAACTATATGTATAGCATGATAAATTGATGATTTACATACATAAAGAAATTTACGTTTTGAGAAATATTTAGCATTTCTAAAAAATTACTCTAAATATATATATATATATTACATACAATGGATAAATAAAAAGAAAATCAAAGAAATATTTTGATCGTTATTTATTATTCTATCATCACAATATTTTGTAAAATAAGATATGTTTAATGAAATTTACATATGTATACGTATGTACAAAAA